CCCCCCCCTAGCCGCGCCCGGAAGCCTACCGCCCAGCCATGTCCTATGGGTATTTTTCTTGTCCCCGACAGTTCATTTTGGCGCGAGATAGCCATCGGGCGATTTTTCACGCCCAGCGTTCCGCCGCTACCGCCGCCGCCGCCGCCGTCGCCCGCTCTGCCGCCCGCTCTGCCGCGGCTTCCTGCCGCCCCTCCGCCTACCCCCTCCGCGCCCCTCGCCGCCCGTATCACAGCTGCGTATAAAACGAGGAGGATCCGCGCCGTCCGAGATCCTTCGCACTGGCAGCCGCCGCCGCCGCCATGAAGCCGACTCTGGAAACGCAGTTGACGCAGTCCGCGCTGGGGGTGGTGGTGCTGCTGTTGCTGCTGGTGGAGACTCCGCAGAGATGCGAGGGAGCCGGCCTCAGCCTGGCGGTGAGATGCTCTGCCTGCGCCATCTCCACAAGTCGGCTCCGTCTTTGCGGTTCCTTTTCTCCCTTCTTTCACTGTACTTTTAGGAGGCGAGACTTCTCCATTTTTAGTTGCTTCTAATCACATCCACAATTAATTAATTGAATTGTTGGTGAGATAGATACCTTTTTATTATGATAAATTATTATTTATCATAATAAAATTGAAATTATTATTTAAATTATTATTATTATACAAATTATTCTTTATCACATCCACAAATGATAACAAAGGAAAATAAATTGCGGAAAATTATTCATATGATTACTATTTGTAAATACTGTTATAGTCAGAGTTATGGCGAAATAAAATGAAATTATATTAAATACGAAGGGTTCCAAATCATATTTATTTTCCAATTATGTGAATGACTGAAAAAATGAGTTCAATTATTGGTCTTGGAATAACAATCACAACTTGTAAATCATACGCACGTAAAATAACAGATTGTGTGCACACTTTCTACTATCGGGAATCCCGAGAAATATTTAGAAATTAAATCGAAAAATGCTTAAATGTTACGTATTAACCAAATACATGCGAAATTACTACACATTACAAGACAATAAACTTCCTGGAATACAATCAGTTTGATTAAAGAAATGCATAAGTGTAATTTTATGTAGAGGAAAAGGGCTCCAAAATTCTCTTTGCATGACCGTTGATAATGAAATGAGTGTACATGCAGGATCCTGGGTTATTTTTTTCTATGCATTGTTATTTCAAATCAGTATTTTGGAAGACACTTATTGGTACCTATCCATTAATTTAGAGATTTTTTGCTTGAAATTATACGATATCCAATCGTTAATTTTCTGGTTGCAGTTTTGCAATAAAATCTAATGCGACTAATAGGTATTTTCTTAAATAGTTAAGTAAAATTAAGAGGTTGAAATTAACAACTGTTCTTTGAATTATAATTTCATATCTTGAATAATAGTATATGTTCCTCTTGTGAATTTTAAGTGAAAAGGAAATATAACTGTCTCTTTCAAAATAGTTGTTTTGACTTTCTCGCATACATACGTATATACGAAGTAATACATGTATTATAGGGTACGTTATGTAATGCTGTGCGAAAAGCTGTGGATTTTGTCAGAAAAAATATCATTGCCGTGCATTTCTACAAAAAGTGGATTAATCTAGTTGCCAAATAAAGAAAAATTCTCTACCTCGTGAGGTAGCCAGAATTCCTATCTTGTGGGTCTATCATACCAAAAAATCAATTGACGGCAAAACCCCCGTCTAACCGTCTGTGAACTCTACTAGCAGATAAACCATGCGTAAGATTTTCATCAAATTGAAGAAACACGTGTCCATCTGGCTCGAGTCGAAGCTTTAAGATTTGGAAAAACATTCTTTAAAATTTGGGGGTACTTCACATGAAGCATTCCGGACATTTTAAAAATTTTATCAAAAAATTCTTCAATTTTTTTCTTTAAATTTATTGTGAGAATAGAATAAAGTAAGTAGATTATAAGAGTGGCATATGTCTAATTTTCACGGTTCATTCTGAATTTCCGAATATTCAAAACTATGAATTTTTTTCGGTGTCTTCCTACAACTACAAACTTCAAGACAGAAATTTTTCCTTAAAATAAAATTTGTTCTCCATTGTGAGTTCTTTCATTAAGCTCGTGTAAATTGTTTTGAAAAGATTGTTGGTCTTCGCGTAATATTGTGTGCAATATGTGCAATTTTCAAAAATTACAAAAACAAGATTTGTTCAAAACGGATCCAAGTTTTTTTAAACTATTGGTAGGGATTGTGCTAATGTACTCTATGAGATGACGTAAACGCTATATTTCTCTATTCTTTTGTTTTGTTTTTAAATTACAAAAATGTAATTTATTGATTTGTGAATGTATCGGTCACGTCGTTAATATTTATATTATCGGCGATTTGTTCATAATAATATATTTATGAGAGCATATGCTTTAAATAATGTCACATAAAGTTCCTCGAAAACTCAACCATTTTCTATGAAAACTAGCTTAACTTTTCGCATTTTCTGAAACGCTCAAACGCGTTTTTTTCAAAATATTTCAATTTTTTCTTCCAACTTTTTGCAGAGATATTACTAATTGTATTATTTAATATGACGTAAATATCAATTTAGGTTTTTTAAAATGAATTTCTTGGAATATCTTGCACGCTGTTAATATTCACATTTTCACCAATTTGTAAACACTATTGTATTTGTGAGTTAATGTGCGAGTTAATGACTTCTAATGAAGTTTTGCGAAAACTCTAACGTTTTATGTGAAAAAGAGTAGTGATTAGCAGTAGCGCTTAAACTCCATTTTCATAACAAACTTGTCTAAGGATGTCAAAGAAAATTGCCAATT